CTAGAACCCAATTTGTTCAGCATGCAATGTCCATGTGCCTCTGCCACCTTGAACTTGGCTCCTTGACCTCCTGCCAGTTTGAACTTGGCTCCTTGACCTCCTGCCAGCTTGAACTTGGTTCCACTTTACCCTGACACTGGAGCCATGCTACAGCTGCTCTGAGATCTGAGCTCAGCTGGCCCCTCTGCAAGATGTCTACTGAACAATTGCTCTCTTCTGAGAGCATCTGAACCCAAATAACTCACCAGCCCCTGCAGTCTGCTGCACCCATTACTCCATTCCACTAGTGTATTTCTCTGTGGAGGTCTCTGGGGTCACCAGTAGGCACCGTATGTTTGCAGGTTTGAGCAGTACCCGCCATGCAGTGAATCAGGGCACTGGGAGAAAGTGCTGCTTGCCACGTCCTTCTGCTGCATAAGGTCTGTCTCTTCACTCTCTCTCTAGGCTTCAAATCTCATTTCAAATCCTTTCTGGGTCCTGGGGACCCACTTCCCTTCTTCTGTTTCTCATGTTGCTATATTCCAGTATCTGGACGGCTAAATCTCAGAGAGGCTGTTTATCTTCTCTTCACAATGCTGCTATGTTCTCCTAAGTCCTATATTCTGTCTTAAAATGTGCTGGAGGCTGAAGAGTCTATGCTGGAAGCCAGGGGACAACTTCCAAAGTGAAGGAGAATACTGGAGCTCCTCCAAATAAACAGACCAGTCATATGCTTCTAAGAGGACATCAGGAAGATCTCGCTTCTCTTTGCCCTTTTTGGGCACAGCAAGAAAGTGGCTGCCTAAAAGTCAGGAAACAGGCCCTGCCGAGACCACTGGATCTGCCAGTGCTATTTCATCATTGCAGGGCTATTCATCCAGAAAATGTGGTAATGAGATGATTCTTTTCTCCAACAAGCAGTAGCTGTGTTCAGTAAAAGGATGTGGGAGGGCAGCAAAGGCCACTTCTTGGCTGCAGCATGTGAAGAGCAAACTTTCCCTGCACCAGGTATCTGAGGCTACCACACCCAAATTTTTAACTCTTCCGTGTAACTGGTAATGTGCAGTATAGTTGTCCTTCAGTGCCTGTGAATGATCAGCTTTAGAACTCTTACTGAAATTCTGTGGACACTCAAGTCCCTCATATAAAATGATATAGTATTTGCCTATAATCTATTCAGATCCTCCCAGCATTACTAAAATTACTAGATTACTTATAATACTTAGTGCAATAAAATGCTATTTAAATAGTTGTTACATTATATTGTTTGGAAATAATGCCCAGAGAAATTTTGTACGTGTTCATTACAGACACAGATTTTTTTCTCTTGAGTATTTTCAATTTGAGATAAGTTCAATCCGTGGATGTAGCACCAACAAATATATAGTCTGTATATAGTAAAGTTACCTATAGTAAAGTTACCTAAATATATCTCATCATTTTTAGGGGCTGGGTAGACTTTTGAAGTCTGGATTCAAGAGACTAGTATAATTTGCTCTAGACATATAACTACTAGTTAATATTAATATAGCCAAGGATTGTTCCTTGGCTATAGAAAAAGTACAGTGTATGTCAATGAAAGATAAATGCCTCAGTTTAAGGAAGTAAGAGATATTCCCAGGGAAAGGTTTCAAAATGTATTGCAAACATTGAACGCTGTTACTGAGAGCCTTGAAGACAGCCTGTGGTAGAGTGGTTAGATCTTTATTTAAGGGGTTCTTAACACCTTCTGGCTCAGACAAAAACATCTAATTGCTTCCTCCATCTGTGTCTATGAGAACGCTTTCATTTTCCAGAGATGTGTCTGTGTCTCCTGTTCCAGTCAAACATCACTGGTGACCTTTCCAACCAGGCGATTTCCTTCTTGTTTGGTTAAACTTGTAGTTACAGAAAATCCTGTTTGCAGTGTAACCCTACTCCTCTTTAAAAAAAGTTTCTAGAAACTTCTTCTCCAGAGAAAGCAAATTAACCTGACCTTGTCTGACCTTCACGTTTAATTATTATTTTTATTCTTCTTTAAAGCTAGTCACTCCATTTTTTTAAAGTGGTAACTTCATATTTACATTTCTCTATGCAAGGCACTTGAGACTTTCCCTAGTGCTGAGTTCATCTAACTTAGCACATGCTTGCAGAAATCATTCTCTGGGATAGCATTTGTTGCAGGAGATGCAGAGACTGATGGGAAATTAGAAACAAGGGCTCCCATAACTCTGTCTTCACCAAAGACTATACTTAGAATACACTGCTCTTCAAGGCAAAGAAAAATAATAGCAAACAACTCCAGGTTGAAGAGGAAGGGGTGGAAAAAAGATTAAAGCTCAAAAACAAGACTATTTTTCTAACCAAAATCTTAGTTGACTGAAGATAGTGGTGGGCGCTGACCTGCAGTGGAGAGAGTCTTGCCTGTTGAAAGGTTAGAGGGAAACCAATCATATCTGACCCTCTGCTCTGGAGACCACAGATATTTATTTAACAGAGTTCCTTTATGAGTCTGGGGTTGGCAATGGAAGCAAAAATTGCTCAACAAGGGAGAGCAACAAAATTTTAGAGGATGAAGGCCAAAGAGTGCTGGGCCAGCCAAAAAGATGGTAAGAGTGACAGGAAACAGTCACCACCTTGAAATGCCCCCTAATAGGGAATCACAGCTTAATTGTTAAGACAATGTTGCCTAGATTTCTGATTTACTCTGTCACTTATCCTGTGCAGTAATTTAATTCTCTTGTGTTTATTCCAAATTTTCAGTAAAATTCTGCTACATCTTATGTGTTCATGCTTTAAAAAGAGGGGTAACTGGTATCTAACAAGGGACAAATGGCAAGGGAGAGAAGGCCATTAGTAATAACTGAGAATAAGGGTTTGGGAAGACAGATCAGGAAAATGATCTGGAGAAATCAACAGAAATATGGCTGGAGAGAGGAGAGCAGTCAGTGGGTTGAAGGTTTTGCTCTCTTATTTGAATATTAAAAGTTTGTCTCAGGAAGCTGTAAGGTTTGACATCTGGTTTATCTTGGTGCATACTGATGTTAAAATAACTGAAGTACGTGTTATACTAGTTTCATGGCTTTCAACTTAGTATTTCTTGTTAGCTTTTCTTGGTAACATTTTAATGAAAATTCTAAGGCCTGCTTGTGGTTGTTGATTTTTTGTTGCACTGTGGGATGATAGTTTAAAAATCACATAATTATTTCACAAAATAAAGCCATTTAGCATAGAGATAGCAAACTAGAAGGATATAATAATAATTAAAATTGTTTTTATGAAAAACAAAATTCATTTTTGTTTTTATCTGAAGTGACTTTGCATCTTCGAAACTATTAAATTTAACACAGTGCACATTTTATTTTAACTCTAGTTTAAAGATTATTTAACCCGTATTCACATATTTATTTTTGGAAAAATCATTTATAAACCTTTTCTGTGCCACACATAGCAGTAAGTCAGAGAGTACAGAGATGACCTGATTTGTCCCGTCACTTAAGTTTTACTAGGAAAGTCAAACAGGTACCTCAACTGTCAACAAAGATTTGTGCTGTTGTCAACAACTGACACAATACTAAAGAGGAAAAGGCAAAAGTGACATTTAAAAAGCAGTCAGTCTGTCTCTAAGCAGAACTGCAAGAGATATCAAAGCCTACTTCCAGGATTTACTTTGCACACACCATCTGGGTTTCCCTGCCAGTGATGTAGGGTGAAGCTGATACCACAGTCCAGAGGTCATGAAGTTTTCAGGGATGTATCTGTTTTCCGGAATCAGGGGTGTAGGCGTATACCTCATGTGCCCAGCCAATAAGAACCCCACACTGATAGGAAGTGGGGTTTGGGAAATTAAAAATGCTCCTTCCCAGGTGTCTACAGTGAAGTGGATCTGTACACAGCCTCTCTGTCCCTACAGAACACACAGCCTGAAGGTTACAGAAGGACAGGGCAGGATAAGGGTTGTGCTACCATAGTGACAGCATCAAAGGACTTGGTGTCTGGCTGGGGATGGGAATTCAGGACACAGCTGGAAGGAATCTGTGATAGGCACATTGGTCCCTCTGACTCAATACAAGCCCCTTTCATAATTTGAAGTAAGGTTTTTGAGAATTCAAGAAGGAAGCATAAGATGGTATCCCAAACATCTGTTTCTGGAATTGCCCAAGAGAGTAAGGAATTGGCATACTTCTATGGGAAGAAGCTCCAGAGACTGGTCAGAGATTGGTACACTGGAGAAGCCCTCTTCCCAGGCTAGTATTTTTGGGGTGGGGGTGAGGGTGAGGGAAGTTAACTATATGCATTTCCTTATGTTATATAACCAGAATATATATGCCAAAGTCACAGTTACTGGAGCAATCCTTTTTCAGCTTAACTCTTGTCAGAAATAGGCCTAGAACTTTCACACCATTATTCATCCTTATTTAACATCAAAACCTGGACACATCAGCGCAGGGCTAAAGATTCAGTGCTTCTGAGCAGGTCTCCCAGCATCTCAGATGCACATACATGTGAGTGTTACAGAAAGGCAGGAAGTGACTACTGACTACACACAGGTTCTGCAGCTTCGTCCATTCTCCCAGGATTGATTTTCATTTTAGCTTCTAGGTAGCTTTCCCCCTCGGTGCACTATGAAATAGATGAGCTCAAATTGTCTCAGTGTAATGAGATCCGTTTCCCGCACGGTATTAAGGATCAGAGGTTCGGTCCCATCCCTCCCTCCAGCTAACCTAGAAATCTTGACTTTCCTGGAGAAAGGGCCAGCGGAGAGCCAGGAGCTGTGGAGGCTGCCGGGATCCAGCGCCTCTGGAAAGCCCAGAAATGCCAGGCACCAACCAGACTGGGTAGGCGCGAGATGAAGCTGCGCTGTCCCCGAGGCTGGAGGCAGGAGCTTGGGCAGGGCAGTGACTGCTTCGCAGGAGAAAAGGAACAAGGGTCTGTCGGTCCCTGTGGTCTCCAAAGATCAGTTCCCAGGGGACCCCGAGGCGCGCCTGGGGCTCTGGACCCTGCCAAGTTCTAGGAGTCGAGGGCGGGAGGAGCGCTCTTACCTGGCCGGGCCGGCTGGTGTAGCTGAAGGAGTAGATGCTCTCGGTGCTGAGGTTCACCACCCCGCTGTACACACGATCGAAATCGGCGCCCCTGGCCGGGTCGCGGGGGTAGCGGCCAAGCGCCGGGGTCCGCGTAGGGGCCTCCGCGGGGCGCCTGGGCGCAGCCGCCCGCAAGAGCCAGGGCAGCGCGCACAGCAGCGCGAGCCGCGGGCAGCCGGGCATGGTGGGCGCCGCGCCCGGCCCGGAGCGGGGCGGCCGGGGAGGGGCGAGCCCGCCGCGGAGCCTCCGAGCCGCGTGCGCCCACCCGGGCGCCGGCTGCCGCGGCCACAGCGATGCGGGGCGGGGGCGCGCCGGCGGGAGCCCCCGATCGCACACCGCCCGCCGCCTGGGGTCTCCACCGAGCTCACGCGTGCGGAGCGGAGGCTGCGCTCACCGCCAGCGTTCAGCTCTCCGCGTCCTCGTCGCCGAGAAGCCCCCGCTCACCCGGACCAAAGTTCCAGCCCAACCTCACCAAAGCCACCGTGACACAAAGGCAGTCTAGAAAATCAGCCCGGCCAGCTCTCGAGCAGGAAACACGGACTGTGTGAAATAGACGCGTGCCCGGCTTCGGGTGACCAAATAGCAAAAGAGCCCGATGCCCAGGAGGGGCCACGAGTCCCCCAGGTTGCCGCCCGCAGAGGACCCGAGGGGCGCGGCGCTGGCCCGCGCGCTGCTGGACACCTGTTTCCTTATTCCTCCCGCGCTCCGGCCGGAGCTCACGTCATCTTGCTCTCTCCCTGGTCGTGGGTGTTAGGTACGTAAATATGTACAGTCATAAAAAGTACATATGGCAAAGAGGACAGTCTCCAGCTCTGCCTGAAGTCTGGTCCCAGAAGCAGCAGTCCAAAGACGACTCAGAGTGACGAGGTGCCTGCAGAACGCATTGCTCCCCCAGACCCTCGCCCCGGCTGTGCCTCTGCGGTTGACTTCTTTCAGATTCTAAGTTGCTGGTAAAAATAAAGGGATCAGAGTTAAAGGCTTACTGAGGCAGGTAAGTAGTAAGAGAGGTCTGTAAGGAACGGTTACAATTAGGTGTTGGAGAGGACTGGGCAATTTATTCCATCATTAAGTTACTCATAAACTAGAGAATCGTCCATTCATTTTAAACGGAAAATGAAGACGTAAAGAAAAAATAATCTTGTTCAAAGATTTAAGATTAAAGATTAAAATTTTAGCACTTGTCGTACAGTTAAAGGAAGGACCATGTTCGTTGATTTCAGTTAACTCCTGTAATTCATTTAAACATCAAAACTAACCTTCATATAAAAAATTAACCTTTGGCATCAGGTTTTATCACTGTGCAGTGAGAAAAAGGGCACTTTTGGAAGACTGACTTAGACTTCATTTTACTTTTTATTTAAAAAAAAAATGACTGTGAGACCGTATAGCACAAAGGAAAACGCTAACTGAAACAAGAGCCTAGGGGTAAAAATTAAAGTATAACTCAAGGTTTTGAAAAACATAACAATAATTTTAGCTAGAATTTTAATGACTTTAAACTGCTCAGTTGAAGCGCTGTTTTTAAAATGTCTATGATTCTTTTTAAAGTTTAACAAACGTTTATAAACTTCAATTTATGGAGGCCTTTGAAGTTAGCTCCATGGCATAATATTGAATAATTAATAAGTCTCTAGAAATGCAAGATTAGGAAATCTTATATCAACTTTATGAGACATGAGGAACTAGCTCTTTCAGATGGCTACACTTTCTTTTGGGGATAAATGTCTCATTATTAAAAAGCTATTTCTCATCTTAGTTGATGTGTCCCTCGCTCCTAGTCACTTCTACTAGTTAGGCCTCTGGAGCTATATGAACAACAGTAATCCTTTTTTCCACATGATGGCCTTGTAGGTATTTGAAGGAGCTATGACCCTTCTGCAAGGTTTTATCCTAGCTTTAAGCCATGAATTTAGAAGCATTGGAACAGATTCTTTACCATAGTTGCCACTGAGTTCCATAGAACTCAAAACATTTATTTTTAGAAAAGCTACCTTTTATTATAACTTTAAGGCATATCAGGAACTCAAAATTAAATCTGATGAAATGTGAGCATTCAATAAATTGGATTAGATTGATTAATTTGTTCAAGTGGTAGCTGAAAAACATCTGACTTATTCAGGACACAAACAAAAATAGATTACTTGGAGCCAGATGTTTAGCCCAGTGGCACAAGCGCCTGCTTGGCAGGTGCTAGGTCATGAGTTTGATCACCAGTACTGGTGGGAAAAAAGTACTGAAAAAAAAGAAAAGCCAAAAGTAGGTTACATGTAAAAGAAAATACTTTGAAGATTAAAAAATATCAAAATTAAATGTTTATTAAAACTAGCTAGTACTGACTTCCCTCCCTGGTAAGCAGTGACGGTGTGGCACACTACGGCCCCTCCAGGGGGAGAACCATCAGTGTCTTCTGAGATCGGCACCATGTTGGAACTTATGAAGCTGGGAAACCAAGCAACCAGCCTGCCTCCCTGCTAAGCAATAGTGAACCTACTGGTACACTAGAGTCAAACATCCCACTTCCCTTACCCGCTTCTCCTGTCCCGCCTGCCCCGTTAGTAAATGGGAACTAGAAATCTGAGCATCTCCTGGGAGACTGACCATAACAAATAAGGGGGACTTCCTTCTACGGTCTCTTTGAAGGCAAATATTTTTATTACTGTTTTGCTCTATTCTGATTAATGGTACTGCTCTATTCAATATTCTGTTTTGATAAGTTCTATATTGTTCTGTATTTCATTTTCTTTTGATATACATGATTGAAAGAACAACTATTGTAAAGATAACAAAATATACTGTGATACCTATTACTGCTATTCTGGTACCCTGCTGTGAAGTTCTGTACCGATTTCACTGTTCGGGGGGAATGGGGGTTTAGCTCAGCGGCATAAGCACCTGCCTTGCAAGCAGGCGGTCGTGAGTTTGATCCCCGGTACCGATAAAAATGAAAAAGACAAAAAAAAAAAAAAAAGAAACCAATTTCACTGTATGATCTTAGTTGGCTTTATTCTGTCTTGTTCTGTTGTATTTTACCACTTTCAAAAAAAAAAAAAAAAAAAAAAACTAGCCCGTACTTAGTACAGTTTTCTTTATGTACTAGACATGAAAGCAAGGGATTTATATGAAAAATCACATATAATCTTCATAACAATAGTAGAATTTACAATGTTTATTTAAAAGCCACTATAGAGGTTGTCTGTGCCAGAAAATTTTAGTTATATATTACAAATGATTCTGTTGTATGTTCTAATCTTGACTCAGCCCAAATTCATGGCACAACCTTAGATAATTTTTATTTTATTTTTTAAATTTTTTAAATTTTATTTTGAAAGTAGTAAAATACAACAGAACAAGACAGAATAAAGCCAACTAAGATCATACAGTGAAATTGGTACAGAACTTCACAGCAGGTTACCGGGATAACAGTAATAGGTATCACAGTATATTTTGTTAGCTTTACAATAGTTGTTTTTTCAATCATATATATCAAAATAAAATGAAATACAGAACAATATAGAACTTATTAAAACAGAATATTGAATAGAGCAGTACCATTAATCAGAATAAGGGATTTAGCTCAGCGGCATAAGTGCCTGCCTTGCAAGCAGGCAGTCGTGAGTTCGATCCCTGGTACTGATAAAAAAAAAACAGTAATAAAAATATTTGCCTTCGAAGAGATGGTAGAAGGAAATCCTCCTTATTTGCTATGGTCATCCTCCCAGGAGATGCTCAAATCTCTGGTTACCATTTGCTAATGGGGGAAGCAGAAGGGAGTACGGGAAGTGGTTAACTCTCAGCCCATGCACCAGTCGGCTCATTATTGCTTAGCAGGGAAGCAGGCTGGTTGCTTGCTTTCCCAGTGTCCTAAGATCCAACATGGCCTGAATCTCAGGAGACACTGGTGGTTCTCCCCCTGGAGGGGCTGTAGTGTGCCACACTGCAGCCACTTACTAGGGAGAGAAGCTTCTTGCTTGGTTTCCCAGGGTCCTAAGTTCCAACATGGTGTGTATCTCAGGAGCTGCTGATGGTTCTTCCCCTGCAAGGGCCACAGTTTGCCACACCATAGCCACTTACCAGGGAAGGGAGGTGCTTGTTTGGTTTCCCGGGGTCCTAAGTTCCAGCATGGCGTGGATCTGAGATGCTGCTGGTGGTTCTTGACCTGGAAGGGCCGCAGTCTGCCGCACCGCAGTGGCTTACCAGGGAGGGGAGGTGCTTTCTTGGTTTCCCGGGGTCCTAAGTTGCAACATGGTGTGATCTCAGGAGACACTGGTGGTTGTCCTCCTGGAAGGGCCCCAGTCTGCCACACTGCAGCCACTTACCAGGGAGGGGAGGTGCTTGCTTCACAACCTTAGATAATTAACATCTCAAAATCACAAGGTACTGTAAGGACAGAAAGGGAAAGAATGTATTAAAAATACAGTAAATATTTGTATATGAACAAATATTATAATGACTGCTAATTCAATAGCAAAAAACTGAAATACAATCCAATAAGCATGTTATTTTAATATACACAATGCCAAAATTTAGTAGGATAGAATTTTGACCTCAAACTCCTGTGTTAATTAGCTCAAGAAGCTAATATATAACCTTAGAAACAGCCAGTGCAGTGTTTCAGACTAAAACATTGGCAGCAAATGGTGCAGAGTGTTAGGATTTGGTCAATGAGTTGGCTTTCTTAGCTTTTGCCTCTGCTTTCAACACTGGATCAATCAAGACATGCTTCCCAAATCTAGTGATCTGTTTCTCGTTATCCCACAGTCAGCTTCCCTATACCAAGATTGAATAAGAATCTATCCGAGCTCCCCCAACTCCCAGTTCTTGTTACTGAACCCAAAGCTTCACATCAAGCTACATCCCAGCTTTGATGTATGTGTGTATTCTATATATTCATTTGTTGACAGGGTCTTGTTGGTTGACCAGGCTGACTGTGAACTTGTGAGCCTCTTATCTCAGCCTTTCAAGTCACTGGGAGTATAGCCATTAGCCACTGTACCTGTCTTTTCTTTCACAGTAAATCTTTGTCACTTTCTGGGCTGACTTTGAGTCTTTGTCAGTGTGTGTGTTTGATGAGTCTCTTTGTACTGCTAGCTCAGGATAGTGTTTGTTTTCATTTGTGTAATGTTCATTTATTTCCATAGTGTTTATGAAGGTTCCACAGAGACATTGTATGCACTGTCTGTCACTGTAGACCCCAGTCATCTACCAGTTGT